ATTTCTCTAACAAAGCCCCTGCCAATTCCTTGTGTTAAGGATACCTTACCTTTGCACGCCACCTCAGATTGTGTTTATGAATTCACATGCACTTGCGGGTGCAAGTACATAGGGCGAACGCAAAGGCAATTGGCAGCCAGGGCCAAGGAACACCTGCCTAGTTGGTTATTCAAGCAGGAAAACCGATCCCCTCGTTCGTCCATTACGGAACACTTGCTGGACACGAGTCATTCTGTGGACTCTATAACCTCATTGCGAGTGCTTGTTCGAGCACGAACATCTCGAATCATGCGCTACCTGGAGGCAGCTTATATAAGACGCTCTAAACCGGACCTTTGCAAACAGTTGGAGCATGTGGTTAACCTAGCCCTGTCTTGGTCGCAACAGGCCCCCAGATTTGCACATTCCCCTGCCCCTTTTTCCCGCAACCCATTTTCTCCTGTTTCTCCTTCCACTTTGTTTAACTTTCTTCCTTTACTAATTGGCCTTAGTGACTATGACCTATGACCTTTGTGTACCAATTCAATTTCGTATTTTTCTCATTCGTTACCCTTCAACGCATTGGAGTGGATGCAACTGATGAGCACTCCCGAAATGTTATGGATCCATTAAATTTTGCATTGATTACTATCTCCAAGTTCAGCCTCTTAATCACATTTTGTTGGCTCTGTCTCCGGCCCGCTAGCCTAGGACCTATCTCACATATATCGCATTCGAAGTTGGCTCTGCGGTTTCAGTGGGTTGTATAAGGTTCTAGATCTGAGAGTATACCTTGTTGCAACATTGGAAATTGAAATTCGTTCCTGTCTCGTTCCCACCTTCCGGAGCGCGCTTCTCAAGCTTCTGAATTTGATTGTGTGCGCCCACCACCGATGGGTTATCATCCTCTGCGTTTTTTATCGTCCTGCTCCAATAACTTTTTCTGTAGTAATCGCCTGTGTAATCGTCGTCGTCTCTGCTGTCATCAGTGGCAGTCCGCATGTCGTTCGCTTCGTCAGCCGTAAGACTCACAAGCTTCCGGGCTCTGCACACTTTGGCTTTCGTGCCGCTGACTCAGTCCAATCGGGGTCAATGGACTAAGGGTTCCTTCCATTCAACCGGCCCCCTTGACCTCATTAACGTGGCGCTGCCTGCCCCGGGCGAATTTTATTGCTGCTGTGTTGCCATGCCATATACCGCAATCGCTGTGCGTAAATGTCCCCCTCCCCCGCCCCCACCAATCCCCCGACAACCAGTAAACAGTAGCCCGGTCCCATCGTCCGTCTTGCGCCTTTTCCAGGCGTTCTTATATTTAACTTTGGGCAGTGCGATAGTAAGTTTGTGTTTCCTTGAGAGAAAATGTGGAGCGTTTAAGCGGCCCAGCAAATCTTTTTAGCCAGTGCTAAGTGCATAGGAAAAGGTTAAGTATGCTGTTATCACGGCTATTCTTTGCGAAAAGGTCCTTTTAATTTTCTCTAACGTGACAGCGAATTTTTGAGAGACATTTTGTCAAGAGGCACAAAATTCGCCTTCCGGTAAAGGGGCGCGTTTTCTGGCATTTTCGACTACTGCCCCAATTAATTGTAAGATACCTAGAAGCATTTGCCCAGTTGCCTTCTAGTTTGCTGGAGTTGGTCCACTCCCCCTACCATCGGCCTTGGAGATGGTTGCGTTTGCTTGGTGCGCATGCAATAAGTCTAACCGGTGCACTGACATTTTGTATTACTTTACGGCCGCTAGCCCTCGATGATGCTATTCATATGTCACTATAAATAGTCAGGGACGTGATGGTGGTGGTAAACAAACCTATTTAATGGTGGTTCACGCTCGCCATGTCACA